TCGTTACAGCAATAATATGGGTAATATAACAAAAGGATATTCAAGGGATTTTTTGTTGTTGTTGTTGTTGTTGTTGGTATTTTTACATTCACCATAGAATTTATTAATAATTTTTTTTTCTCTTTTCTTTATGCCCAAAATAGAAATTCAAATGAAATCTTTTGTGTGTGTGTCTGTGTAGGTTTAGGTGTCTGTGTTTGTGTGTGAATGGTGGTTTTCTCTTTTTAAATTTGGAATGAAAATGGAGAATTTTTTGTTTGTTTTGTTTGCATACACAATTCTGGAATATGATTCCTGTCATTGTGATGAATGATTGAAAGAATTTTGTTTATTACTGTCGTCACTATTATTGACATTAGTTATTTGTCAACGTATTTATAGGAACAATAAATAAAAAAAATAATCGAACAATCCATTTTTTTACATCTTTACTTTTTCTTAGAAAATAAAAAAAAAACTTTGTATATTTGAATATTTTCAGGGAGAAAAAAAAAGAATATTAACTTTCATTCATCATTTTTTTAACATTGGTAACGGTAATAATCATTTATTCTTTTGAAATATTTAACAACAAAATTGAATTCAAGAATTTTTTTCTTTTCATTCTCAACATTTCATTTGATTTTTTGTAAAACTGCTTACTGTATCAGCAGACTTACTACTACTACGGTTTTTTGCTTTTCCTTATGCATTCAACAAGGGAAAATTTCAAAAATCAAAAATAAAATGACTTGAGAATGAAATCGATCGATCGATCGATTCAAATCGTATCAATCATTAAAAGAATAAGAAAAAAAGAATGAAGAATGAAAAAAAATTGGTCAATTCATTTTTAACTATCTCTGAACATGATCATCAAGGGCAATAGAAGAAAAGAATTTTTTTTCCATCCAAAAACTATGATGACCATTCAAAATAATGATGATGATGATGATGATGATGATAAAAATAGAATGTCATGAAATGATCCAAAATGAAAACTTTATGAGAATGTAATGATGATGATGATGGCAAACTTCACTGAACTTTTTTTTCCACTATCATTCAATGAATGACAATTTCTTTTCTTTTCTTCTTGTTTTCGAAGACAATTTATTTTTTCATTTCTTTCATCATTCTTGTGTGCTAAATATTTTGTTTTTTTTTGTTTGCTTGTTTCATCATTCATTCTGTTGTTGTCGTTGTCATCCATTTTTCCATGTTTTTTTTCGGGTTGATAACAACAACAACAACAACAAAAAACTTTTTCATCATATTTTTTTATATTAAAATATTTCTTTTTTCAGTGAATGGCTTTATCATTTTTCCAATTTTTGTTCATTCATTGAATCTTTCTTTGAAATTAATCCCAAAAAAAATGAAAGGGGTGAATTCTATGGTGGTGCGAATGGATAGAATTTCTTTATTGAATAAAGAAATTTGACATTTTGCATCATCATCATCATCATCATCATCATTTTCGAAACAAACGAAAAAAAAACAACAAAGATTTGCAATATCTCTCTGGATTCAATTAAATCAAGTCATATTGGATATTGATTGATTTTTTTATTTTTGTTCATCATCAATTTTCAATATTCATGCAATATACTTAATGCAACCAAAACAAAACAAAACACCAATAACAACAACAATCTCTTTGTCATCATCATTGTTGATTTTTGTGTGTGATGTAAATGAAAAAAAGAAAGAAAGAAATCTGCCTGAATCAACATTATATGCAGGCAATAGATTGAAACATTATTGAAACATCCATTATCCATTAGAAGAAGAAACAAATCAGAAAAAAATCCGATGAATAAAACATCCCCAGAAAAAAACAAGAATTTCCATTTCATTGTGTTTGTTTTTTTTTCAATATTTTCCCATTTTCTTTTGGGATTTTCCCAAAACAAAAAAAAACGTATTACCTTTTTTTTTGTTCTGTTTTCAAATGGCATCTCATACAGATTTAGATTTGAATTTGGATAGAATTTCATTCTCTTTTTGTCATTATTTGCACAGGAATCAAATTCTTTGTTTTTTTCATTTGACCCAAAGAGAAAATAAACGATTATTTTTAATTTAAAAAAAAAGTTTAATTCCATGATCAAGTGTGATAAACTTTTTGTTTTCTCTCGTTGGCTTATTCAAACAAAAATGTTGTTGTTGTTGTTGAAAATTGAAAATTTCAACCACCATTAATTCCCACCCTGCTTCCCCCCTTTCGTTTCTCTCTATATGCCAATAAATTGAAACAATTGAGAATTTGAAAACAAAAAAACAAAAAAATTTTCTCAATTGAATAAATGAATGGAAATTTGAGTAAATAGAACGTTTTTTTTCAATTTGATTTGATACAAAATCAACAACAACGACGATGATGGAAATTATCAATCCATCATCATCAACATTGTTGTTGATAAACATTGAAAATTTTCTTGAAATTTTTTCTCCTTCTTCTTGAAATGTATATCCATAATATTCAAGTGTTCATCATCATCATTATTCTTGAACAGAATTTCAAAAAACAAAAAGTTAAATTTTTTGAATGATATTCCAAGCATCACACACACACATAAACATCCTAAGTACACTTGAGAGAGAGAGGGAAAGAGAGAAATGTTGCTTTAGGTTTATAGTTTCATTGAAATTTCTCACCAATTTTCTCATCAACGAACCAACGAACCAACTCATTTCAATTCTATCCATTCTATTCAATGTCTATATACACACAACAAGACAGAGAGATAAGATTCTTCCAATAAAAAAAAAGTTTTTTGTTTTGTTTTAAATAAAAGTTTTTTTTGTTGATGAATTGAAATTAAACCTGAATGAATAGGATGTTTACAAGCACTCAAACACACACACACACACATACACAGGGAAAGTCAAGAGGTGAAACATTTTTGGAATGGGAATACCAAATACAAAAAATGAAGAGATAATTTTATAAATAGAATTATTCACGTGATTACAATAACATAAGTTAAAAAGGATAATGAACATAATGTATGTACTTAGTGTGTTCTGTGTGTGTGTGTGTGTGGGATGTTCCAGAATAAAGGAATCTGGAATCACATGAATAATATCTAATTTTAAAATTTAATTTATTAACGATAAGGATGATGCAATTCAATGTAATCTATAAAAATATTACAAAGGGAAATTGAAACAAATTAATTTTTTCATATATGAAATTCCTATTTCATATATTGAAAGCTCCGGAAATATTTCGTTTTCAATTTTTCAAATCATGATGATGATGATTAATGTTTAACATTGAAATCAAGAAAACAAAAAACAAAAAACAACAGCAACAACAAGAATAAATTATTAACAACAACAAAAACGACAAGAATAAAAAAAAACGACAAAATGGAAATGAAATAAATCTATGTTTAGTACATCATTTTGATATGATGATGATGTGGTTGAATTTTCTGATGTTTTTTGTTGTTGTTGTTGTTGTTGGTTGCTGCATTCAAATGATGCCCAATTATTTTTGGGGGAAAAAAATTCTTGAATCTTCTTTTTAGTTTAGATGATGAATATTCTTGATTTTTCTTTGTCGTTGTTGCTTGATTCTTTGATGATGATGATGTAAAAAAAGATGCATCTTCTTGTCGTTTCATATGTAATGGGATAAATGGGAACAAACAACCAAAAAAAAAAAACATGAATCTGACAAATCACACAATCTTTCTATATGTATTGTGACAATCAAAATAAATTCAATTGAATTTTGTTGTCTTGATTTTAAACATTTTGTCGTTTGTCGTTTGTGATTCATGAATTTTAAATTGAACCAAAGAAAAATTCGTTTTCGGTGTTCGATATAATTTTTTTTTGGGATCATTGAGCGTGAAAAAAATTTAAAATCAAAAAATCAAAAAAAAAGAAGGAAAAAGGAAAATAGAAAATCTCTATGTCAACATTGTCGGTTCCTTATTTTTTCCTTAGTTTCGCTTTCGTTACGTTTTTTGATATTGTTTTGTCAACCGATTGTTGATGATGATGATTATCAATCAATGAAATTGACTGTAAAGATCATTTCAATTCTATTCTTTAAGTTTTTCGTTGGTTCGTTCGTGAGCAAGAATAAGATTTTTCTGTTAATTTATTTAAGAATGTGAATTAATCTTGGATGACGTTATTCCGGAGATACAATGTTTTTAATATTTTTTTTTTGTTGAAAATATCATCAATTTTCAACAAATATTTAAGATTCGAAGAATTCAATCAATGAATGATATTTTTGATCAAAATCTTATAATGAAGATTTCATAAGAAAATCTTTTTATCGCATTTTTTTTTTGTTTCCAAAATATAAATTCTTCAGATTCTGATTTTTCTTTGATTCGAATCATCGTCATCACATTCCAGACATTTGATATTTTTTCATCGGAAATTCATTGAAAAATAAAGATACAGAATTTCATTACTGTTCCTAATCGTAGTTACTTTGCACACACAAAAATTGAGAAAGAAAAAATGTTGAATTAATGAAATTAAATTAATTCAATTTTGTTTTCTGTATTTATAATCACAACAGTTACAGTTTTGTTCTGTGCTTTGTTTTTGTTGTTAATGTTTTTTTTAATAATATTTGCCCAAACAAACAAACAAACTTGATCGATCAAAACTAAATTAGTGACAAAATAATAATATTCGGTGTTTTTTTTCTCACTTTCTTTCTTTCATATTCGAGAAAGCCAAAAACAAAATTGTTATGTTTCTTTAGTTTCTGAATTTTCAATTGCCAAGTTTTCATATTATTTTTTTCTCTTCGTAAGAGATTAGATTATTTTAATAAAAAAAAATAAGATGAAAAATTCCAATCAAAACTTTCATCATCATTCATTATCGGGTAAAAATATTCCATTACCACCATCATTGAAAACAACAAAATCATTGACAAAAATTAACAACAATGATGAAAAATCATTGATAAAAAAATCTATACAACAATATCGATCATCATCATTATCATCATTATTTCGAAAGAAAAGAAAATCAAAATGGCAAAAAATGTCAACAAAAAGTTTATCGGCAACAAAAAAATTTTCCAAAGATATTTCCGTAAAAATGCCCGAAAGTTTTTCCAATAAAATCAATCCAAAAATAGAACAACAACAACAACGACAAACAATGATAATGAATGATCCGGTTCATACGAATACAGTATCATCATCATCATCAACAACAACAACATTATTAAAAAATACAATACCAATGATTAAAGAACAATCTCGATTAAAATTGATCCATCCAATCATTGATAATAATAATAATAATAATAATAGCAATAATGATAATGATGATGCCAATGAACAATCATCATCATCATCATTATTATTTCAATCGAATAAATCCGGTTCAGTGTTTACTTTTCAGGATAAACTTCCGAATGGTATTTATTTATTTATTTTGGTTTTTATAAAAAAATTTCTATTCATTCTATTTATTTTTATTTTTTTTCTCCATTACATCACATTACAGAAGATTCTGCATTACAATTATTATCGATAATGACAAATAATCGATCAATGAATAATAATAATAATAATAATAGTTACAAACAATCAACAATGATTTTAAAAATGAATACTTCTACAACTGCTATTGGTGTTGGTAAGGAAAAAACAGAAATATTTGTTGCTGGTAAAGGACATTTAAAAAGTCAACTATATAATAGTGATCACGATTTATGGCCAGATTGTGATTAAATATCATCATCATCATCATATAGAATTGACATCACCACATCACATTTGTAATTGTGTGTAATTCGATATTTTTGTTAATAATATTTATTTAATATAACCAACAGAAATAATAAAAAGAATCAAGTAAAATAGTCGTTTTGTTTAAGATTTTATTTTATTTTTGCATCATTCATTCATTTATTTATTTGTTTTATATTGTTTCCAATGATGATGATGATGATGATGTTTGTTCAGTTTCGATTTCATTAAAACAATCATCATGTGTATAAAGGAAAAATATTATGAATAGAAAAATTGTAATCAAAACAGTAAAACATAATTCATATATTAATTTTGGACAAATGATTGACCAGATAAAAAGATGATCACGTAACCACCATGTAACAAACATTGTCATTGACATTATAGCAAAATGTTTTATAAATGTAATGGTTATTATCGATAAAAATGTTTGATAATTTTTTGGAATATATTTGTTTGAAATATTGTTTAAAAAATCATCACGAAAACGTATGAAAAACATTATCATCCAATAGATCATTGTTGAATACATTGATATAATCATAAATAATCCACATATAAAAGGTCTATGTTGATTAAGGCCAATAAAACAACTTTTAACACTAATTGTTGATAATGAATTACGATTACCAAGCTGATAGAATGAACTATATGCCATACAAATATATAGACCAAAACGATAAAATATTTGATTATATTTATGATCAAATGATCGTTCGGGTTGTGATAATATAAGGCACAATATTTTTTCCATTAAAATATTCATTGTTAGCACAGGTATCAATGATGGTTCCATCAATAGCAGCGACATAATAATCCATATTGTAGTGAATGTATTCAGACATATACCTTTAACTATAGAATTATTTTCCGAATTCGAAACAATCCATGATAAAATTGATAAAAATTTATATAGTTGAAATTTTCGATTAATACAATCAAATATGATGAACAATATAAATAAATAGATAATTTGTGGACAAAAATTCGGATATTTAGCAAGAAAAGTTAAACAAGAAAGACGAAAAATAGTAACCTGATTCATATAGCTACGATATAAATAGATTAAAATAAACGATGTAATAAGAAAATAATATGATGATTTTGATGATGATGTTTGATTATAAATCATTGCAGCCGTAATGATCAATGCAAATATTACTAAAGAACTTAATAAATGTTTATTTGATGACAATTGTAAATAATTACTAATATCATTACGATTTAAATCTTGATCGGTTAATATTGGCATACGCCAATACATCAATATAATGAATATTGTAATCAAACATAAAAATTTTATAATGACTAGATCATTAAAATTACGATTATAATGACAATAATTTGATTGTTGATTGTTGTTTAGATGAATATTATTTTTGACAACAATAAATAAATTAATCAACAGCAATAATAATGTTGAATAATACCAGAATAAATGTTCGTTGAGAATAAAATTAATAGAACCAAGTGAACAGAAACGTATCGAAAATATTAATAAAATTAATAACGATAATAATCGTAATGATGATGATGATGATGATGATGATGAAGGTTTAAGAAGATGAACAATTATAATCGATGATGAATAATTGTAAACAATTTCAATGTATAATAAAATGAATACAATAATCACTGTTATCATAATGGCACCGATCAATGATGACCAAAATGAACGATCAATTGTTTGATAAACAAATTCATGTTGAATTTGTCCAATAAATTGTTGATAAGATTTTTTTGCATCTTCATAAATTTTCTGTTCACTTTTATCATCATCATCATTATCGATATTTTTAGTTTTGGTTCGATTTTGTTCATTAATAAAATTCCAATGATATTTCAATGCAGTAATAAATTGTTTACGTAATAATGATCGTGATTTTGTTTCTTTATGATCTTTGAATAATAATAATTTTTGTGTTTGTAATGCATTACGAAATAGATGACAAAGATGTTCATCATTCGGAATGTTGAATCGTTCCAATACGGATGATATAATTCTACCTTGATTTTTACGAGGAAGTTTAAGACCAAATAATACGGTAATTGTAGCGGCAAAATCTAATTGAAAAATAACAATCTTATTGTCAATATCATTTTTGAATGCTGTTTTCGATTGTTGAGGTATATAATGAATTTTATTTGTACTGATAAATATCAAAGCTGTATTTGTTTCATCGTTTGTATGGCCACCATGATTACCGGCATCAGTCATACCATGATCACCAGTTATTACAATAAGATATGAATCATTTGATGATCCTGAATAGGTTATTGTATCAAATATATTTCGAAATACATTATCCATTTCATAAAATTTATCGGAAAATAATTCCGAATGAAAACCACGAAGATGGCCAATATGATCAACACCTAAATAATGTAATATCATAACATCCCAATCATTTAGTGATTTTAATTCACGATTAAGATTATATGTAACATTTGAATCAACTTCAGTATAATCTGTTGCAAATAATGATGATGTTACATTTATTCTTTTAAATATTTTATTTGATGATGGAAAAATTTCTTTCCATGTATCATCGCCATAAAAAACGATAGATTTACCTTGTCGATTAAATTGTTCGACAATATTATCATCAAATTGTTTTTTTGTTTTCTTTTCCACATCAACATTATTATTTGAAACCATTGGAATAAGATTAAGAAAATAATCCATAAATGATGGTAATGTGCCAGTGATCAAAGCCTTTATTCGAGGTAATGTTACAGTCGGTATTGTAGCAACACTTATCATACCGATACCATTTGTTTGCATCACTTTTTCCGTATAAGGTAATAATGGATCAATTGATTGTTGATGTGGTGATTGTTTACGTTGCTCTTCACCAATGATTGATTTTACAAAGTCTACACGTAATGCATCGATTATAAATAACACAAATTTATTGAATTTGGGACGACTAGTTGCCAATGTTTGATCACAATAATCTTGTAGATTAATATAAATACTATAATCATAATTGAACATTCGTTCATTTTGACCATTATCACGATTATTACTGGCTGTTGGTTCAGTTGGCATCGATAATGTTTGTTTAATCCATGAATCATCATCATTTATTTCATCATCACCAGTTTTTAGATATAATTCTTCGGATAATAAAAAATTATAACCAAAATGAGCAGTCGATGCAATGAATATGATGGCCAATGCAAAAATCCATAACGGCTGAATGATTGTTGTATTCATTTTGGATTCATTTCAATTCAATTAATCATCATATCTTATCATCAATTAGGTAAAAAAAAGTTAATAATGAGTGAAAAAGAAAAAGAAAAAACAAATATCAACCTCATCCAAGTGGAAATTATTACCCGATTACATGTCTAATGAGGAGTATCAATCGATGGGTTTAAAAAAAAGAATCCAAACATTAAAACGTTCTTTACGAACGGTTGTTTCGTATATTTTTGGACCAAATGACGAAAGAATGCATCAAACAATTTTACCAATTGATCAATATCATAAAAGTGATACATTTCTTAGCCATGATGTTCAGAATTTATTTGAAAAAATATTCAATATTCAATTAAATGATAATGTCGAATGTTTGAATCATGATTTAATAATATTCGATAAATTTTTAGATGAATTTAATATTGATTTTGATCATTCAATTGATTCGGATGAAAATGTAAACAAAATTGGTCAATTTATTCATAAAATTGATAATTATTTTGACAAAATTTTGGAACACAATAATGCAATTGATTCGATACAGTTTCGAATTCGATCCAATATTGAATGGTGTGGTCCACATTGGCAATCCTATATATTGGATGCTATTGATATTGGTTTACGTAATGAATTTTCAACCATACCTTTTACAAATCAACAACAGTATATTCGAATGAATGAAATTTTAAGTCTTCTTATTTTGACCAGTGGTATCGAACATTGTCTTGGGGATATTTTACGACTAAAATGTCGACAAATACCACCATTAATGAAAGATTTAATTGAAATGTCCGAGTTAGGCGAATTGATTGGACAGGATTTAATACGACCATTGAAAGTATTATTAGGACCACCAACAACAATGAACATTCGGAATATTTTATGGCATGGATTTATTAATTGTCCGGTCAAACAAACATCAATTCAAATGCGACCAATAATTACAACATTGATTTCAATCATAACAACAATCGGATTTCGGCTATCACATCATTGTGATTCTAGTTTCACTAAAAACGATTCGATACCTCGTTCATCATTATACGATCTAAATGAATTTGCTAATCATCAATTTCCGATCTTTCAAGATGATGATGGTGATGATTATTGTGAACAAATCGAACGTTGTCCATTGATACATCGAACGATGCTTCCAGCATGGTCATACATGTTGTATTTGCAACGACAAGAAAAATTACAACACAAAAATCGATATTGGATTTGTCTTCTATTTCCATTACTTGAATCATCGTTACGTTATCTTTATTGTCATATTAATCAATTAGAAAATCGTCTTCTTACCGCTATTGCTCGTGAATATTATGTAACATTTCGTGAAATTTTTGGCACATTAATTACCGATTTAGATTATTGGAAGATTGATGCTATCGATGAACAAACATTGTCACGAAATCGAATGCTACAATTTTTACCCATTGGTTTTATCGATGCATTCAACGATATAATTATACATTGTCATGGACCACATTTACGTGATCGATTAAGCCATGGACAGATACGTTTTGATCATATTGATAAGAATGTTTTACAATTCTGTACAAATGTTACATTCGAATTTATACGATGGACAAATTTACAAAGTTGTAACCAGAAATTATTATCATATGAAACAAAATTTCATAAAATATATTATGTAAGAAATCGATTGATTACTATCATACAACAATTATCAATTCAATCATCAAATTTTAATGGCAATGATTATATCAATCGATTACAAGCCATAAAACCGGATACAAGTATTCTGTATCTATCCAAATGTTTTATTATTATCAAATTTTTGGAAAATATTATCGTTGATTTTGAAAATTTTCTAAACATTTTGATCGATTATTGGAAAGAAAAACATTCTTATCAATGTGAAGGACGATTACGAAGTAGACAACGAGAAAATTTTCAACAATTTCTTAAATATTTTAATAATAAATATCTAAAATTTATCTGTGATAATTTATGGTGGTCAATGTTCGTGTTAATGATGGAAAATCTTGATCAATTAATTAAATCCGATCGATTATTCAACAATATCGAATGGCGTCAACAAATCTGGGAGAAACATTATCAACGTAAATTACAGACAAACATACAACGTTTATGTCAATATTCACGTGAACATCAATGGCATCGAATTGAAGAGTATTTGATTTCAAATCAAACGATTGCATCGAAAATTATTCAAGATCTTTTTCCACATGAAAAATACTAATAATCGGAAAAATTCTTTACTCAAGTCATTTATTTTCTCACTTTGTATGTCTGTCATTCACATTTCAAAATATAAAATTTATAAAATTGGAAAAATTACAAAAAAAATTTAAAAAAATTATTGGTAGCGGTGGGATTCGAACCCACGCCATTTCTGATGAGTGTGTTCAAATAAACATCCATAAATTGAGTTTTTCGGAATAATCATGGACCTAAAACTCACGCCTTAGACCTCTCGGCCACGCTACCGTTCATAGTGGTAATATGATGATGATTAAAATTTTCAATTAAATTTTTTTTTTCAAAAAAAAACTCATTTTGAACATTTGGTTCCGGTAAAAATATCAACAATCAAAAAAAAAAATTTTTCCTTAACCCTATTGAATTGGAAAGTAAGACCTTTCATAAATAAAATGACACAAAAAAAAAATTTAAAAAGCAAATTTTTTAATTAAAAATGTAATTTTAAACAATGATTATTAAAATGATGATGATGAATATTATTAAGCACTGCGAGGTATTTCAAATTGTGTTGTAGCACGAATCTGTTTCGATTGTTGTTGTGATGATCGATTACGGATCATTACATGTTTTAATGCACGTATAAAACAGCGTGTACCTCTAATCAATCTAGTTATATAATTGTATTCACATGGTTTGATCATTTTAAGTGCAACAATAAATTCTTCCAATCTAAAACAATCAAAAAGAAAAATAAATTCATTAAAATTAATTAGCATTTAAAAAAATTAATACTTACGGATATAAATGACGATCTTTATCCGGTACGATAATAATAGGATGGATAACTTCATCCGGATATTTAAGATGATCGAAATAAAAATGAAAAATAACAGCCGTATTCATTCGTATTCCGAGAATTTGAACAGATATTCTATTTAATGAAAAAGAAAAAAAAAATAATTTCAAAATTGATCAAAAATTCACGCACAAAAAAAACATACCCAATTTTTCCATCCGAATCATTTGGCAATAAAAGTGAAATCTCTGATGATAATAATTTTCGTAATTCACATGCCATTTTTTTAGCCGGTGTAACCAAAATACTGAATTCTTCCATCAATTCTTTAAGTTTACTTGTATCTTTGAATTTTTTATCAAACATTGAACGTTTCTCTTCAAAATGTGTGAGTACATAATCTTGTGCCAGATTCAATAATCGACGATGTTCATCCGTTTCGAATGATAATAGAAAAAAATCTCCATTATATATAGGTCGATCTTTACGGCCACGTATCACATCATTTTGTAATGGTCTATTCGAATCAATTAATGAAATAACATCAATGGCTACAATTTCACGAATTTCATGACGATGATTATTATCATCATTTTTATTTGTGTTTGAATGACGGAAAATTTTCGATGTTACAATTGAGCCGAAATGTATCCGAAGCTCTAATGTACTGAAAAGATATCGTAATACTAATAGATTCTGGCTTACAGATTGAATTCGTACATTTAGTTTTCGATGATCAAGATCATTAATAAAATCAAACATTGGAATCTGAATTGGTCGTTGTTTTCGTCGAAGTAATTTTATAGTTTCTTCGAATTGATTAAAAATGGAATATTCCAAATTTTCTGCCATTTCATCTTCATCATTTACCATACGTGAAATGTCATGCATCATCATTGAAAAATCTCCAGTCGTTTCCGATACGCTTAAATTATAATCTTTTTCTTGTTCATCATTATTTTCAATTTCATTATCTTCAATGATTTTCGCCGCTTCTTTGTTTGTTTCTGTCGATTCAATAGAATCATGAGATAAATCAACTATATCCAACATTGTTATAATCGATTGTTCCATTTCGATTGGTGATAAAACTCGTTCATTCGCTTCGTCAGGGTCTTGTTGTAAAGATTCAATAGTGACATTTAAATCTAATTGTAGTTCGCTATCATCAACAACATTATCATCAATTTTTGATTCTTCATTTTCAATTATCTGCTGTGATTGTTTAGTTTCATCATTCTCAACCGATTTCGATTCTTTTGTTTCGTTTGATTCTAGAATTTCGGCCTCTTTTTCTTTTTCTTGTCGTTGTTGATTAACTCTTTCCAATAATTTTTCACGTATTGTTATTCCCAATGATTTTCGACCCAATATTGATTTTTCATAAAATGATGATAATGAATCATTTAGATTCTGTGTTTGTTCGGATAATGTTTGCGCTGCTGATGATGTTGACAAGCGAATAATATTTGTATTGAAATTCGATTTTGATTGAGAGAAATTTGATGAATATTTCTCGGGATTGTTAATCATTGATCGTCGATTATTGTCAAACATTCGTGAATTGGATGTCGACGGCGGTGGTGGTAATGTAGATTTCAGCTGAGACATTTCGGTTATAATTTCGGCAACAGTTGATCCTGTCATTTGTTTTGGTGGTTGCTGTGACTGTTTGATTATTGCTGATTGATTTACTGACATAGACATTTTCATTGATGGACGCATCAGATCAAGATTTGGAAGTTTAAAATTTATCGATAACGAATCTATTTCTTTTTCTTGTTTTTCAGGAACGATATTTTCAACCGAAGCTTCCATTGTTACGATTAGATTATTTTGTTCATCGTCATTCATATTGTTGTTTGTTTCATCATCATTTTGTTGTTGCTGTTGTTCCTGAGACATATTTTGATATTCCAAAATTTCGGTCATTGATTTACCCAAATTAATCGGCTTTGTTGGAACATATGGCGTTTGATTTTCTGATAAATCATTAGTTTTATCGTTGGTTATATCGATAATATTAACTTGAACATCATCATCATTCAATGTCAAATCAGTCTTTGAATAATCAATATCTGCAATGAATATTGATTGATAATGATCATTTTGATTGCCCTCAATGAGTGGTTCAATTTTTTTCAATAAAATTTCTTCTGCATATTCAGAATCATCATCATCTTTAGACATCATATTATCTGGAACGATAATATCACGAGGTTTTGTATCCAATATTTTTGACTTTTCCATTGATAATGTTTTCGTATCGATAAGAGTAAAATCCATTAACGTTTTGTTGTTTGATGGAACTAAATTGTCCGATGATTCGGTAATACTTGTATTCGGTGTAACTAGTTCAAATTCATGAAATAAACTTTGTGATGTACCATTTTTGAACAATGTTGATCCATCACTTTTAGATTGTTCATTATCATTAACATTATGATTAGAAGTATCGGTAGCCAATGTAAAACTTGTTAGATTTTTTAAATCGTCAATTTTTGAATAGCCAACAATAATATCAGTTGTTGCATTCGTTGCAGACAATGTAAGACAAGCGGCTAATTTTCTGTCATCGTTAATAGTCGAATTTTCCAGATTCATAGCCACATCTGTCATAAAATGTTCATTTTCAGCTGTTTTCTGTTTATTTTTAATAGATAATGACGACCCTGATGAAGATGAAAGTGAGATTAAATCTTTTGAATGATCATCATGAAGTTGTAACGATTTTTGGAAATCTTTTTTCCCCAATGTTTCAGATACTTTTTGATCATCAGTCTTAGTATTCTTAGTTATTGAACATGATTCAATAGATGATGAATAAATATTAATTTGATCAAAAGTTGATGCATGAATCAGTTGTGGTTGTTGTTCGATAATTTCTTTCGAAATCGATTCTGATGGATCTACCTTTTCTTTTTCAGGCTTGTCATTGTTTTCATTTTTAAGATTTAAACCATTATCATCGTCACTATCTTCTTTGGAGTTAATGGAATAATCTGTATTCGGTGTATCATCGAGTTTTTTAAGAAAATTCATCGCATCTGCTTTCGGTGATTCTTTTCCATGCATTTTTGCCGCTATACAACTTTGATCAACAAAAATCGATTCTGTTGAATCTACTTTTTCTTTTTCAGGCTTGTCATTGTTTGCATTTTTGAGATTTAAATCATTATCATCGTCATCATCTTCTTCAAAGCTAATGGAATAATCTGTATTCGGTGTACCATCGAGTTTTTTAAGAAAATTCATCGCATCTGCTTTCGGTGATTCTTTTCCAGGCATTTTTGCCGCTATACAACTTTGATCAACAAAAATCTCAAATTCATTTTCAATTTCTGGTTTATCAGATTCAAAATTTTCGCTAATGGCCATATTTGTATCCGATGTTAAAGTTTCAACCGTTTCAATCGACATTGGATCAACTGATTTTTTTGTTGGTGATAATTCTAATGACATATCGACACTCATATCATGTGCTTGAAGACGATCAATTTCAGGCTGCTCAATGGATTTGAATTTTTTTAAATCTGGCATTTCATCAGTATTCGATTCTAATTGCATGAATGAAGTATTATGGATTGTTTTAGCTATAGAATGTTGATTATCATCATCATCACTATCTAATTCAATGTTCTTTAAATCGCCATCATTTCGAATAGGACTTTGATCTATGATCGAAAATGAACTTAATGAATGATGTGATTCGGAAATTTTTGTCGAATTTAAAAAATTCTTTTCAGTAGGTGAATTAATACTTGGTGTTTGATTGATATTATTTTCGATCGAATCGCTTGCTTTTACCGGTTGTGATGGTAAACGTTGTTGTTGAGGTTCATCATCTAGGTTTAAATGTTTCAAAAATTTTTCAAAATTCTGTTCATGTGATGGATGATCGCGTTTAAATAGTTCGTATAATTTAGCAGCATTATTAATCGGATTGGCAGTATCGATTTCAACACCATATTTATTCAATGCAGTATTGATAACTGTTGTATAATCTTTACGATCATTTTTTGGATTATAATATTTGGACAATACTTGCGGAAGATGCTTTGGTTCGAATTTATTCTTAATTTTCTGTATATTTTCATCATAACAATTGATTATTTTCGGACTATTATTATTCGAATTATTTTCATTTTTGTCATCATTTTTTTGTTCATTAGTAGCACTAATTACAATAGCATTCGGATTGATTGGACCATATTTATTTAGTTCTTGACTGGTGAGTACTGATGTTCCATCCAATAAAACTTCTCTGTATTAGCAAAGAATTTTTATTTAATTTTTTTCAGAATTGAAATGACAATCAAATGTTCAGTTACTTACTTGTATTGAAAAGTTTGTGCCCAACTAACACGACGAGTAGATGAACGACGATCAGCAAATGCTAATGAATGTTCGTTCAATTTCAGAATCGATGATCGTCGTGGATGTGCTGAAAATCGTGCTTGACCATTATTTTTAAATAAATGTTGCCAATCTTCAGAATTTGGATCAATTTCATCTAGAATTTTGGCATTATCGGTTTCTTGTGACATTTTTTATAACAAATAATAATAAACAAACAAAAGAATGTTAGAAATTCAATTATCAAAATGACAATTATATGCTGAACAAATATACCACAACAAAAATGAAGCACACTGTTGAACTGATACAAGCAAATAACGAATCGTTTCAACGTTCAAACTGCTAGGGTTTCGAAATCGCGCCATCCAATCAGAACACACTGTACATGCAGTACACTGACAATCGATGTACATTTTAACTTTACTTAGCTCAATGATGTAGAAATGGAAACTTTTTCAAAACATTTTTTCTTTTTCTTTTTTTTTGGTATACCATCTGATGATTCGAATTTGAAAATATTAAATTAATTTAAAATTTTAAAATGTTATTATCTCGAACATTGATTAATTATTGTCAAATTCGTTTGCAAACTATATTCATTAATAAACAACCAACATACAAAAGATTTGTAATATCATCATCACATTATTTTTCAACAAAAATTGATACCGAAAATGGAACGACAAAATCTGTATGGAAATCATCGTCTAATTTAAAATCATCCACAGATCGACCGAAATTGGATCGTAAAGAATTGCTCAAATCATTGGATGTTGATTTAAGCTATGTAAAAAATGAGATTACATTATTTGAAATAGCAAATCCAAGCACATATAGAGTATATTTTATCGTAATTATTGCTAATTTTTTATTCTGGATAGTTTGTGCCAATATCCTATATAAATTCTATTCGTTCATTGGAAAACGAAAAGCAGTAATCGAACGAGAAAAACAATATGAACAAAATAAACATGAAATGAAAAATCTTGATAGAATGATTGAATATTTTTCAGGTATCTCAAATTGTTTCAACAAAATTCTAATAAATTAATCATTTTGTTCATTACCAGTATATGGTTATCAGAAATTTACCAAATGGTTATTTTTAACCATTGGTATTGGATCAACAGCATTGTTTTTCTTTCTCCTATCACGATGTGTTTCATTTATTAGATTAATGCCCGGTGGTAAACAGATCAAAGTTGGCCTTATCAATTGGTATGGTGGTTGTAATTCGGAACAACGTGCAAAAATATTCAATCTAGCCGATGTTACTACACGTGAACATCGTACCGAAAGATGTTATTATATATCGATGAAAGTAAAAAATAGAAAATCAACATTATTAATCGAAAGAGATGGACATTTTCCAAATGAAACTTTATATGATTTAACTTTAGGTGTACAACGAACATTTAATCAATAGTTTTTCTTTAATTAATAAAATAAAATAAAATCCATGTAAATAAAATTAACTAAAAAATATAATAATTTTTTTCTCTCTTTATGAAAATTCTGATTGATTAATCCATTTTTGTAATTCATCATGATACATTCGAAGATTGTAGGAAAATTTATCACGAATTTTATGGCCACGAAACATTATTGTTCGTTTGTTGTTAGTCGTCGATGTTGTAGGTCTGCCAATTCTTATCACTGGTTGTGTATCTGTTTCTTCTTCGACAATCGTTTCGAATTCTTTAATATTTTCATTTATTCCAATAATTGGTGGTGGTGTTGATGATGATGATGTTGATGAATTTTGTATTTTAAATGATTCATTTAGTTGATCAAAACGAGAAAAATTTTCGTTGTCCATTGTGGAACACCAACCACAAAATAGTTGTATTGGACATGGAAAGTGTCTTGGTGATGGCCTATGACAACACGATGATGATGATGTTGATGATTTATTTATTGATATTAGATGAGATCGTTGTTCAATCAGATATTTATCCAATGATTGATAATAATCAAATTCTTGTTGATTAATAGGAACTTCTACAGATATTTGTACACTCACTATTGAAAATTGTAACATAAAAAAGTCAATCAACCATATTTTAAAAAATTGAATAGCTTACTTGAATCATCCGGACCGAATCTATGTTTATATTCAATATGAAAATTAAACGTATCCAATACAAATGAAACAACAATAGTAATAACAACCAATGTTATTATATAGAATGCAATAAAAAATATGTATGACCATCGATTGCCGGTAACAATTACATATGCATTCATTGTTATCTGCCAATTATTGACGACCATCAATTCGAATAATGTAACTATAGGAGATGATAAGAAAAATTAATGGATTTTTTTTTTGGTTGAAAAAAAGTTTAAACTTACTATAACTGGTGATTAAATCTTGAAAATTATTCAAATAATAATATGATGTTGTCGTACCATTCGAACGATAATATGGTTCAAGTGTACTATTCTGACAACAATCAATCAATGAATATTGGCCAAAACATTCCATTGCAATGATTGCAAAAAAATAATAAACAATCAATACGACCATTGTGACCGACATAAAACGTTTGATAATAATCAATGCAAATGGACCAAGTATATCACGATAACGATGAACATGATGACGAAGTAGATCCAATAATTTTAATGAACGAAATGAAAAAAATGATGTTGACAATGTAATAGTGGTCATATGAACATATTCATTCATAATGAATGTTGTCAAACCGATAATTGTAATAAAAAAATCAAATCGATTCCAACGACAACGAAAATATTCATACGGACCATATGTAGCTAATTTCAATAACATTTCAATCGTATACAATGATATAAATATGGCACAAATTGTACGTGTTGATGTTGAAAAATGAAACATTTTATGTACATGATCAGCATTCCAACCGATAAGAGCATCCAAAAATTGATATAAAGCAGCCATTATAATTATGATATATGAAAGTCGATCAAAATATCGATGCATAACTAATGAACGTAAACGATACATAATTTTCGGAAACCAACGTAAATACAAACAACATGATGATGATGACCGATCGAACCATGGTGATGATTTATCCAGATTTTCCCATTTTAAATTTAATATCTCATAAATATGATAGAATTTTTCCAATGTAAGATGATTATCATTATCTAGATTAATATTATCATTTTGACTATATTGAGCATTGATTATATGATTTAGATATTCTTCAGCATTCATTGATGAATAATAACCAGAAGGTTGTTTGCTGTTAGTAGATTTTTTATCATGACGATGAAGTAAATGTCGTGTTTTAAGATCTTCTTGTGGTGTAAATACTTCCATTATTAATGCTTTATACATAATAAATCTTTCCAATTGATTTGTATGCGGTTTCAAATGATTCATTAGGCCACTAAAATGTTCAAATTCAATATAGCCAATATTATTACTATTATTATTAGTTACTAATAAACGAAATGCATGATCACAAGCTTTACGACGATGTAGAAATAATTTACGAAATTTATCTTTTTCAATTTGTGAAAATGAATTATAAACAACGGCTAACATAATGTTTAGTAGAAAATATAAATTAATCACTAAAAATATGATAAAAAATAGTGCATATAATTGACTTTTTTGATATGCTGGCATCATAACATCGGGAAAATTTGCTGTTGTTAATAATACGAATAATGATAAAAATGATTGAATAATTGTTGAGAATTGTGTATAGTTTGGTATACCAGAAAATAGATAGAATGCTGAAATGCTGAAAAATATTAGAAAAAATAATAACAATGCTAACATATCGATAAATGAACGTAATGATTGAAATGTTTGTCGAATAACACGTCGTACGCCGAAAAAATGAAAATTATCAATCAAAAATACTGGCCGCAATGAACGTGTTACACGAAAATGTGAATCCTGTCGTAATAGAACGACAATCGCTTCGATAATCATCAATAATAATACGATAGTTTTGATTAAGGTACGGCCATGTTTGAAAAATTTTGCCATACCGATCCATTGTAATTTAACAAATAAAATTATTGCCAATATGGATAAAGCAATTAATTCTAGTGTAGCGTGTATAGCTTCAGGAAGATGATAATGATCAACGGCCGGTTTTTCCGTCAATGCTAACGATAATATTAGCCAACAGCAAAAAAGATCCAATGCATATACGAAACGATTATGTGCTATCAAATACATTGGTAATTTTGTAAATAAATGTGGATGATGATCAAATTTATCATTATTTAATCCTTCTTCAAGATATATTGATGCCTCAAGATAATTTAAAGACCATAACATTTTTCTATTGATTTTATTATCGGTAGAAGGATTTCTCGATGATGATGAACTGGAAGAATCGGTTGTTGTCATTGTACGTATTGAATAATGATCAATCGATGTATCCGATGGTAATTGAATAAAACGACGATAAAACCAATGTAATAATGAATGTTTAAAACGTGAATGTCGATGTTGAGCACGAAGTGATTCTTCCATATCTGTATAGCTTTGACAAATCGGTAAATGATTAGCCAATCCATTATCAATGACATTCGAATCTACTGATAATGTTTGTTGATGTTGGCTATCCGAATGATGCGATTCCATCATTATTAGATTAAGTTGATGAACAGATATCGGAGCCAATGATGAAAAAAAAATCAATTTGAATTTGTTGATGAAAGTTTCAAATCATCTCATCTTGACAAAGTGATGAAAATATTTTTCACAATGTCCTTTATTTTCCACCCATTCTCTTATTTTCAATGCATTTTTCATTCGCAACAAAAAACAAAACAAAACAAAAATTCAAGAAATTTTTTCCCTTTCATCAATATCGTTACCACCCCATCATTTTAATAAAATTATTCGAAATTTCTTAATTTTAATTAAATTTAAAGAATTTTTTTTCCATTTTTGTTTTTATACATTGTTAAAAGCGACAAATTTATTATATGTACGTTTTTGATTTGGTAGATGACAGTACACATCCGAATGTATGTAAATGATCGTAAGGTTTATGATCAAAATACAATTCGAATGGAGAAGAACTGGAATCTCGAATCCAAATAGCTGTTTACATTGCTTCAACCCAAAATCGATTATCCATATTAGCGGTATTCAACAACAACTGTTCGATTCATACGTTCAATTATGCCGTTTTGTTGCGGTGCATAGCTGACCGTATTCAACAGGTATCCATAATGTTCAACGGTGAATTGTCCGATTCCAAGACCGGTGAGGGTTCCGCGTATTCAACGTAAACATGCCTGAGAAAATGTTTGAATCGTTTTCATGATTGATGTAAAAAACTTACGGATGATCTAATCTCAAATGATTAAGCATAATTTGATGAGTCCTGAACTTTTTTTGGTGAATCGGACAAATTTCTTCCGATGTCACTTTATTTCGCAGTCGATTGTATGCGATGACCAACGAATGATCTTGACGAAGAGGTTTCCGAGCTTGAATCTTCAAAGACAGTAAATGATAGACAAATTTCAAATAACAGAAAAAATATACATACGAAAGATATCTTGCTCGCCAATATTTTCGACTTGTTCAAACTCTCCAAGAGTTTTTGGCGATCAATACCAGAGGTTTCCATGTTGCGTTTAATAAAATCCAAAACCAGATTCCATCTTTCTTCCATCAACGTCAATTCGATCCATTTGGACTCATCCACATGTCGTCCTAATTCGTTGATGAAGTCGATATATTCGTTCAATATGAGACCTATCATCAGGGATATTAGAACTTTGTTCAATTTATAAATTCATTGCTCACCAGTTACACGATTGTTATTTATTTTATAAACAATACTGCTAAATTTTTTTCGCAGAAACAATGTTTTTTCTTTTAACTGTTGTTTTTCCATCGTCTTTTCCAATCTAAAAAACCTGAAAAAAATATAAATCAAGAACAAAACACTCTCTTTCTGAGTGAAACACGTTTTTCAACTGAAAAAGAATTTGAATTTTTTTAGTTATCGAAATTTTAGACCCGTCATATAAAACGTAAATCAAAATTTACGCGCCAAAATCTTCAACCTTCAACATACAAACTGCGCGATTTTTTTTTAGAGACCGACCACAAAATCAACGTGTTTGATCATGTCATATTTGATTTGAAGGAAATTTCGAAAATCGAAATCGGTGTGATCCGCGGAAAGGGAAATGATGTTATGAATAGGTTTTTTTCATTTCTCCTAACTTGTGTATACCCCCATTCACTAAAAAAACAAACTTTATTTATTTATTTTAGAAAAAAAGATATAAAACAAATATCGAAACAACGTGTGGACTTGCCATAAGCATCATTAAGAAAAATCAATATGTCCTTAGGTTTTTCTAGCAAGGTGTCTGAAATCTTCATGACGACCTCTGCGTCCAAAGTAGAAATAATTAGGTCGACCGCCTTTTGGATTTCTGGCTCGGTTAATGAAGATGGGTCGAATTCATCTTTGAACAATTTATGTTGACAAATATAGCATCGTCCACTTCCATATTTATCGATTCGTTGTAAAATTTGATTCCAAATTTTGATTCCATATCTGGCTGGTTTTGATGGTAGGTATTGTCGGAATGAACATCGACCACGAAAAGCTAATAATTACACCAATCAACCACAGTATTGTGGTTCATATCTAATTGCTTGAAACACCAATTAATTGATGTCAACTCCTCTGTCCAACAATATATAAACCGCAATATCGTTAAAAAACATAATCTTGTGTTCTCAAACCAGGTTCCTATTCTTATACTTTTTTTTAGAACGACAAGATTTTAAATCACATCGCCACCTAACTCCATCGGAAAACGATAGCTTCATATCATGGTTATTTTTACATTTGACACTTTTTGGCAGTAGGCCTTTATCTTGAAAAAATATTACCGCTTGTTCTTCCGAACAAGGGAGGTCCCAAATCTTCATATTTGAAAAAAAAGTAATAAAACAAAACAAAACTTGCTAAACTTATAGTCTTTTAGTTTTTTTAAATCAAAAATTAGAATAAAATCTGTTTTTTGTATCGATTTTTATAGCTAAATTTTGTAATGAATCGAATTTCGAACTAAATTTCCAAAGCCCATCTTTATTTTGTTAGTATTCGAATTTCGAACTAATTTTTTCACTTGCGTCAAAGACAAAGCAGTGTGTCTGTTGTGTTCAGAAATAAAAGATATATTTGTTCTTCCATCAAAACAATTCCTATTCAATTCTTGAAAAATTTGTTTTTTCAAAATTTTAAAATTATTGTGGTCGTTTGAAAATTGATCATCATCGTACTTCGCCGTATCACCATCAGTCAAATGAAATGGTGGAAAGAGCACATCGCACAATTTGGAAGTTGTTGCGAGTAGTTGTGTCAGATATAGACACAACGATTGGGACATTCATTTGTCCTCTCGGTGTTAAGCGCTTATATCGAAAAACAATTCATACAACTCTACCAATATTCGGTTGGCCAGCATTTATTAGATGTGACCAAGGTTCACAAGTGCCAGATTCAGAAAGTTTGCAAAGATAACAATATTGAACTAGAATTTGCTACATTTGGTCATCATCAAACGAATGGCTTGATTGAAAGGGCTAATAGAACAATGGAACAGATGATACGAGCTTCCATTTCTAATCAAAGAATGGGATAGATGTCTACCAAATATGATAGTGGCGTATAATGGTTCAACTCATTCGTCTACTCGGTTGGCACCGTATAAAGTGATGTTTGGTCATGAGACACTGGTGACTAAATGTCACAAAGAGTTTTCGGCAATTGGACGCTTTGCAGACAGTGTACCGCCTTTATCAACAGAGTGAAACTAAGTATCCTGATAATTTAATTGAAGTTAATGGTTTATTTCGTTTGAGTCGAGAGAAAGTGTTAATCTGCTGATTTGGATACCCAGGATTCTGGCCTTGCTGTCCAATTATTGGTGTTCGGTCATCGGAAGTAGAATCATCCGGGAAAAATGGTGTCTTTGCAGATTTTGGCAACGTGAGACCAGGTGTCAGCTTTACTTTGGTTGGTTATAAATTTACGCCACGCATCTCTTTTGGTACGGTTGATACCGACACGGAGTTCAGCTTTAACCGTTTTCCAGATACCCATATAACATTGTTTGAGGATACCAGTCTACGGAGCTGTTGGTATTAGTCGGCTAATTTAAAATTGATCAGTGAATTGATTGTATCATATGACGGATAATTCGTGGTAATGTTATTAATCAACCGTTTGGTTTATTACATGATATGCAAAGAAGATTCATAAAACTATTTGAATGTATAATGAAATAATTTTTATTTTATTTCAGTTATTTTATAATACAAGTAAAAAATGAAGAAAATTAAATAAATTAATCAAAGTTTGAAAAATAATTAGTCCATCATATCATCATCATCGTCGTCATCATCATCATCTTCATCATCATCAACGATATGATTATCATGGCCACCATGATGATTTACAGCCATCATTGTTGCCGTTGCAATAGCTGTTGCTTCATCATAATATCCATCCAGATTATCACTATCAATATATTCAACATAATCATCATTTTTTAATGTTAATAATTCAGCCGTTCGTGTACGATTATTATTATGTTGTCGATGATTCTTTTTCATCATCATCATCGATGCCTGCGCATTATTATTATTAGTATTCATGGTTGATAATTGATCATCATTACGTTCAATATTATATAAACGTAATTCTTCAGCAACCATATTGAATATTTTACCAAATACTGAAGCACGTCGTTCCAATGGTAATTGATCAATCATACTTGATAATGTACCTAATACCGAATGATTTTGATGACGATTCTGTAGTTCACGTACAATCATAAGAATTTCATCCATTTGATGATTATGTCCAATTTGTTTATTATTATTATTATTATTGTGGCCGATCATTTTATTGTTGTTGTTGCTGGTATTAATATTATTATTGGAATTTGAATGATGATTATTTGTCGATAACATTTGATGATGATATGGTGATGATGATGATGATGATAATCGAGGTTTTTTCATTGCATGGTGTTGTTGCTGCTGCTGCTGCTGTTGATGATGATAATTATTATTATTATGATAATTAGTTGCTCCAGATGATTGTGCTGCTGCCATATTTTTTGTAAGTGTTTGATTCAATAATGATTGTGAATTATTTCCCATCGAACGATTCATATAATTCATATTTGATTGATTATTATTAGAATTTGATCGATTATTATTATTTGTTGATTTGATCGTTGATGATGATGATGATGATGTTGATACTGATGGAGATCGTAAGATGTTTGTTGAATTATTTTGATTATGATGATGTTGTTGCTGTTGTTGTTGATTATTATTATACTGTATCGTTTTTCTTGGTTTAGTTACAACCGAAATCATTGGTTTCATTTGATTATTATGTAAATGATGTATCATTGATGAACCATTCTGTATTGTCGATGTGCCAATAACCTGAGTAGTAGAATTATTTGTTACGGTGGTATTTGGAATGTTTGTTGATTGTGAATGTTGTTGTTGTTGATGATGATTTTTTTGATGAGATTCATTATTCAGTCTATTATTTTGATGATTATTTGTCCTATTATGTGATTGATTATTCATTGATTTTTGATGATGATTATTATTTGATGATTCAGATTTATTTGTCTGTTGTGTGGATGGATTAGCATTCGGTACAATTAATGCAGCTGCTGATGATGCTCTGGTTTGACGTTTTTCACCAATTATCGTCGCGTTTGAAGATTTTGTTTTTCTAAATAAAAAAAAATTTCCATTAATCATTATGCAAACAAAAAACAAAACAAAACATACGATTGATTTTTAGTTCTTGTTCGTGGTTTAAATGGACAATCATCAAGGAATGCTAATTCCGGATGACGATTAACATAATTGGAATCATTTGGATTTTTCTGATGAGATCTTTGTATTTTTCGATATGCATCACGTACATTACGCCATTTTGATTTACACATTTCCTCTATTTTATTTTTGGAAATAAAATTTGTTAAAAATGATTTTTTCAAAAAAAAATTAAAGAAAAAAATTCATACCATCCCAACCGATTAATTCGGAAATTTCTTTCCATGATTGTTGTACACGTACACGTTCATTATATGTTGGATCTTTTTTATAATAAATCCATGGTCGTTTACGTACTTCTTCAATTAATATTCTTCTTTGTTCATCTAATCGACTATTCGAAGCAATCGATGATGATGATGATCCATTTTGAATAACCATATTGGTTGTTGTTGTTGATGAATTTGTCAACAAATCAGTTGATGTTGATGTTGTTGGCAATGTTGATGCTCCATTTAATTGTGGTTGTATACTATTCATAACACTATTAATAATTGAAACTTTTTCTGGATCATTCGAATCGAATGATGACCAAAATGATGATTGATCTTCTGGATCGATTGTCGGTATTGTCGTTGATGATGTTGTTGTTGTCGTTGATGGTAACACTGTGTTTGTCGTTGTTATTATAGTATCTTCATCTTCGTTATCATCATTGTCATCATCATTACCATTACCATTAACATCATCATTATCGATTGTATCGATTAAATCATTACTTGATTGATTATCATTATCATCATCTTCTTCATTAAATAAAAGTGATGTTGTTGTTGTTGTTGTTGTACGATTATTATTTGGCATTATTTTATTTTTTTTGGTATTTTGGAAATGAAAATGGATGATGAAATTTTATTTCAAAGAAAAAAGCTGCCGAACAAATAGGAAAATGATGAATTGAATTTATTCACTGCTCCTAACTGGAATTGCTACACACAGTAAATAAGCAATACAATAATAAAATGAAATACAATGATTCAATTAAAAAAAAAAATCGCAACAGAATTTGTGTGCTCAATCAACAACAGTGATAATCAAATTCTGTGTGTCGAACAACTTTGCTATATAAAAAAATTTCAACAAAAACAAAAAAAAAATCGCAATTTGAATTCAAGAATTTACCGTCGAAGATACAAATGTTTGTCACAATGTTCTTTCGTTTCTGTTGTTGTCGTTTGTCCATATGAGCCGATTATATATCGCACAATTTTTTCATTTAGGGTCATCACAAAAATTTTTTTTTTCCATTTACTACCGCGCCCTTTTACGCACACCAAACACACACACACACACAATTTGTACACACCGAACGATAATGGCCACAAATGGAATGGAAAAAATGGCCAGAAAAAATAGAAGAAATGAAAGAACGAAAAAATTACACAGAGAAATTACGATACGATTTTATGATGATCACGATTTTTTTTTCTTTATTTGCAACTACCACCTCTCTCCATTCTTTCTCTCTCTCTCTCTGTTTCATATACACCACCACCAAATAAAACCAAATGCCAGTTTGTATCGAAATTTTATTTGGGTCTCAATTTCTTTTGGGTTCGAACGCGTTGGCATATATCGCTACCAACAACAGTACCAAAACAGACTCACGCATATAATTTAGTGAGAGAAAAAAAAATCTTTTTTTTCATTCTTTTCGCTATGTGTGCGTGTGTATACACAAATTAACATTTTCAATGATAAAGCGTTTCACACATACACAAAACACTTTACACACAAATAGTTAGTGTGACATAATGACGCAATAACGAAAGAATCTGTTGGATCAATGTATATTGATGGAGATGATGGAATTAAGCATGTATTTTTGTTTGTTTGTTTGTTTGACAACAATGACAACGATAACGAAATGATGATTGGTAACAGCAGCAAATCAGTCAGTCAGCAGTTAACAACGAGAACAAAGAAAGAAACAACCGCGCGTAGAAACGAAGACTACGACACAACAACGACGACGACGATGATGACGACGACCTCACCACCATATTAAATCATCGACGACAACGACGGCAAATGAAAAAAAAAACAACCCAGACAACCTAGCCCCGAATTATTATAAAGCCAAAACATTACATACAATCCAATCCACCAACATCCAACACACATATATATTTTAGCGTAAAAAAATAACACTAAATAAGCGAGCTAGGCAGACAAACAGGCAAGTAAGCAAGAAAGTTTGAGATGCAGCTTAACCAGTTGTTATTTTATTATCGTTTACGATACGACTATCGTTGACGGCTGTTTTTTTTGTTGCTCTGTATATTCGGTATATGATTGTTTCGGTCGTCTCTTTTTTCTCTATTTACTATGGCTGGTTGTTGTTGTTGTTGTATGTGTTTGATGTATGATGTTGATGTTTGATATTGCGCGTCATTGCGGCGAGACGATATTTTAGAGTTTTACTTTGATGAAAGCCAAAAAAATAACAAACGAAATTTTACATCTTCCCATTCTGTATTTTGTAGAAAATTGCCTGAATGCAGAAATGTAATTCAAATGTCTTAATCAATTTAATTTAATTAAATTTGAATTTTTGACAATTTGACGCAATATATGTTGTTTAGTTTTTTCTCAAAAAATCAATCAATTAACCGCTTCTATCTAACTTTTTTCGTTTGCCAGAACCGAAATATTTACCTTTATAATCTTTGAATTCGCGTTCATTTTGCTTCTCTACACACCATACCACATCATCATCATCATGATAAAAAAAAAACCATTTCGAATGGAATAAATATGTCTAGCTAGTGTGTGTGTGTATACGAAAGAAGAGAACAAGAACAACGATCACGATTATGGACGATGATGATGGCGATTGACGGCCGAAAAGAAAAAGGACAATGAGAATAGAAGAAGAAGAAGAAGAAGCGGGAGGCAACGCACTCATTTCAGGATTTTCGTTCGTTCGCTTGTTCTTTCTCTGGCTTTTTGTAACTCCACACACAAACATACACAGCCATATATACAACATGAATTGAACAAACAGTATGAATAGGGAGAAAGATAAATGAAAAAAAAATTTCATCCATGAAAGAAGAAACCCGAAGCGAATAAGTTTAAACGAAACGAAACAAAGTTATGGGATCGATTTAGTTTTGCGTGCGCGATTAAAATGAAAAAAAAAACATTCAGGACATCAAATTGAGTAGGTATAAAGTGGTGTTAGTTTAGTTGTTTTTGATTTCGGTTGGTGGTTATGAATGAGAATGTAATGGAATGACGATTTTCGAATCGAATCACAAAAAATTCGGACATTCATGTTCTTTATAGAAGACAATAACTGCTGCAGCAACAGTAAATGACATTCGATAAGGGTCAGCGTTTATAAAGGTTGATTTTTTTCAGATGACTTTGTTTTCGTAAATACCAAATATATCATTTGAAAACAAAATGTCTGCAAAAAATGTCAAAAAAAAATGAAACATTATCAGCTTGGAACAGAATATACGATTTTAGGTCTGTCCAGGATTTTTTGTTGTTGGTAGAAATACGCTACGATTCAAAATAGGATAGGGTTAAGTGTGTGTGTTTGTGAGTGGATATACAAAAAAAAAACGATTAGAAAAATTTATTTAGTGTCTTGGTCAAAAAACAAACGGATGTTCATTTTTAAAAAAACATAGTGATGCCATCTATGAACAAAAACAAGAATTTTTTTCAATTCGATCCATTAATTAATGCGGCAATTAAATTTATTTTACTAGAAATTATGAATTAATGATATTTTTACAATTAAAGAAACGTAATTTTTTTTAAATTGCACATCTTTCATCATTATTAAAGAATAAATGAATGGTATAAATTGTTGGTTGACACATAAAAGATGATTTTTAAATGAAAGAGAAAAAAAGAACAATCGAATGTGATGATTCCTTCGGTTAACCAGAAAACAATTACACAATGATTTTATTTGCTCGATGTATATTTGGTTACAGCTTTGGTACCTTCCGATACAGCATGTTTAGCCAATTCACCTGGCAATAATAATCGTACACCAGTTTGTATCTCTCTTGATGTAATTGTTGAACGTTTATTGTATTGCGATAATCTTGATGATTCGGCTGCAATACGTTCAAAGATATCATTAACAAATGAATTCATTATCGACATTGCTTTTGATGATATTCCAGTATCCGGATGTACTTGTTTCAATACTTTATAGATATAAATTGAAAATGATTCTTTACGGCGACGATGTTTTTTCTTTTTATCCGTTACACGAACCGATTTTTGTGCTTTTCCGGCACTTTTTTTACCAATTTTACCAGTTGGTGTTGATGGTGCCATATTGTTGTTTCAATTCGAAATTCGGCAAACAAATCTTTTGAACCAGGTGAAGATAATCAGTGAGAAATAAGACAACAGGTCAACAATATTTTTCTTTGGTCGAATTGTTTTGCTTGTTTGGAAACACTCTTAAGTAAAAATAAAAATCGTCAAAAAAAAAATTTCCATCAACAATCGAGCGTTTTTATTTCTGTTTGTCATAGAAGCAACAATAAAGTAACGATAAGGCGTAACAGCTAGTAGCATGAAAATATGATGTGGTAGTTTCAATTGAACGATTTTGATTGGTTCAGGCTGTGTACACCATTTTGATTTAATAAAAAAAATATATATATTTTATATATGGCAAATATAAAGACTCACATTCATATGACGATTATTTTGTGTTTATTTTGAAGAAAAAGAGAAAACTCAAACTCAATTCCATCACCAACATCAACAAAGACAATTTTAAAGCTAATTTGTAATTTTGATTTTTGATCTCCCAAACTATTATCATCCATCATGTCGGGTCGTGGAAAAGGTGGTAAAGTTAAATCCAAAGCTAAATCACGTTCATCACGTGCTGGTCTACAATTTCCTGTGGGTCGTATTCATCGTTTACTTCGTAAAGGTATGGTACCATTCTGTTTCTAGGTAAATTGATTTATTAATTTGTTTTTTTTTCTTAAATTTAAGGAAATTTTGCTGAACGTGTTGGTGCCGGTGCACCAGTCTATCTTGCTGCTGTTCTAGAATATTTAGCCGCTGAAGTATTAGAATTGGCCGGTAATGCTGCAAGAGATAATAAAAAGACACGTATTATTCCACGTCATTTACAATTGGCCATCCGTAATGATGAAGAATTGAACAAATTATTATCTGGTGTTACAATTGCACAGGGTGGTGTACTGCCAAACATCCAAGCAGTTTTGTTGCCGAAAAAAACTGAAAAAACAGCTTAATTTTTACCAACCAAAAATTGAGGAACAATTGCAATTCACATTCTCTGTACTTGTTTGTTTTGTCTTTGTAAAATTATCATTAAAAAATGAATAAATCCATTCAAAATTATAATCATTAAACAATGTTGTAACGCAATACTTGGTTTTTTTAAAAAATGATTTTATTTACAAAATAATGATTAATTAAATTTGGTCAATTTCAAAAGTCAATCATAAATGTTACTATGTTTTGTAAACAGAAAAAAAAACAAAAGAGAATCATTTTGGGAGAAATTTCAATTGATTCACCATTTTGAGAGGATTTTTTTTGGTGATGATAATGAGGCTAGTAGATATTTTCATTAATTCAATCGGGATCATGTGATTAACCACCGAAACCATACAATGTACGTCCTTGTCGTTTGAGTGCATAAACAACATCCATGGCGGTTACGGTTTTACGTTTTGCATGTTCAGTATATGTAACAGCATCACGGATAACATTTTCGAGGAAAACTTTGAGTACACCTCGGGTTTCTTCGTAGATCAAGCCGGAAATACGTTTGACACCACCACGACGAGCAAGACGACGAATAGCCGGTTTTGTGATACCTTGGATATTATCACGAAGAACTTTACGATGACGTTTGGCACCACCTTTTCCAAGACCTTTACCACCTTTTCCACGTCCGGACATGATTCAAATTGGATTGGATTGTAATCGAAGACTAACCAGAAAGAAATTGGAAAACGAAATGAGTAGATTGGATGACAAACACACTAAATGATGATTGCTCACTGAGAGCTCCTCATTTATATACGGATGAGTTCAAACACGATCAAACTTACAAATGGGCATTAGCCAATCAAAATCAGAGCGCGTAATTTGAAATTGCATGCGAAGGCGGTGCTTAAATTGACCAATCAGCATTTGTAAAATTGTGTGGCGCATAATTTGAAATTTTTTCAAATTTCATATCCGAAAACAAATGCAAATATTAAGTTTTTGTTGATATCCGTAACAATTTCTACCAATAATTATCATATCCGAATGATTAGTTAATTTGAAAGGAATTTTTCCAATGATTTTTTTCTGCAAACAATGTATGCTAAATTCTATCATCACGTGCTTCACTCTGAAGAAAAAGCAAACATCTTCAAGGCTAATCGTTTGGATTGTGGCATACTAACAAAGCGATATTGCAATATTAACCAAATAACAATAATATTTTCATTAGAAAATCATAATGACTAAAACGTAATAATCGTTGTTATGAAATTTCGATCAAAAGACAAAACAAAAGGAAATGGCAGCTGTTGGATGTGTTGCTGTTGAATATAAGAATTTATTGTACAGATTTTTGTTTCCAAAATATCTTCGAAAATTCATTCAAATCGATATTTCAATGTTTCATATACACGGGAATGGCAACATTTGTTATGTTATAACCGCTACTATTGACTATACTAACGTTTGATTTCAGTTAGACTTGGCAAAGCACTCTGCATGGATAGTAAATATTAGCAGTCACATCATAATGACTTTGGCTTATGTTTGCTTTGATAGTGGATTGCGCATACTCATCGACTGCTTCTCTTTTTTTTAGTTATAAATTTATTTTCTGTCAAGACCATTATGAATCAATTGATGTGATCAGTTTTTTGCGATTTTCATCTACTTCCGTTCGGTCAATCCTAAAAAATTCGGCATCATTGAAAAGAAAATTTTATGAGAAAAATTTTAATACTAAATTCAGTAATATTGATTAAGAATTCAGCAAAGTATTGTCCATTGATTTCAGGAATACATTAGGTCTATCAGAGTGTTTACGTTGTGGGTGTTTTAGTCGATTTCCGTTGTTTTTTGTTTGTGAATCCGGAATTTTTTTCCATAATCATAAACTACAATAACTAAGCTTTCGAATGATGTAAAATTTATCATTATAAGTTACCAATTTCTTGGTCAAAATCGAACAATGATCAAGATGAACAAACGGATTTGGATTCTACAAACCTTTTCATCAACTTTGAAACGAATTTTAGCCAAGATATCATTAATTAATCAAAAAATTTTATCACCATTAGAAAGTATATTTATTACTGAATCCAATGATATCAAATTTATCAAAATCGGTTCAGGATTCGATGATAAAATGAATCGAAAACTGAATGAACAAAACACAAATCGCCAGATTTGGCCAGATTTATATTGCAAATTTTTTTCGTTCAATTTCATGTTTTTATGAGGTCGTTCGCGCATTCGGTCCGAACATATATAAATGTTCTCGCATCGTCCATCAAGTTACTACTTGCCATTCGCCATTCGTTAAAGTAACAACCTTCGTTCGTACTTATTTTTGAAAAAAATTATTATTCGCTTTTCCATTTTCGTCGGGAAAATTATTATCGTTAATTGCATCATCGTTATTTTTTTGGACATTTATCGTAATTCTTTTCGAAACAAGAAGAAATAATGGCCGAAACTGTCGCATCCGCTGCTGCAGCTGCTGCTGCTCAAGCCCAACATGCTAAACCGAAAAAAGCTTCGGGAGCTAAAAAATCATCAAAACCTAAAACAGCATCCACTCATCCACCAGTGGCTCAAATGGTCAAAGCTGCTATTGTTGCATTGAAAGAACGTAATGGTTCATCATTGCAAGCGATCAAGAAATATATTCAATCAAATTATACTGTTGATATCGAACGTATGTCACCGTTCATTCGTAAACATTTGAAAAGTGCTGTCGCCAAGGGTTTGTTGGTCCAATCGAAAGGCAAAGGTGCTTCTGGTTCATTCAAATTGAACAAAGGTGAAAAGAAAGAAGCAAAAGTCAAGAAACCGAAAATTGTCAAAGCAGTCAAAAAGGTTAAAAAATCAACCGATGTCAAAAAAGCTAAACCATCGAAACCAAAATCCGCTGCTGTTGTTGCTGCTGCTGCTGCTCCTGCTGTTGCCGTAGCCAAAAAGGTGAAACCATCGAAACCAGCTAAATCGGAAAAAGCAACACCCGAAAAGAAAGCCAAAATTGAAAAGAAACGTAAAGCACCGAAATCGCCTAAAAAACCAAAGGTCAAATCAACATCGACTCCAACTAAAAAAGTTAAACCAGCAAAATCACCATCGAAAAAAGCAGCCGTTGCTAAAAAAGCATCCGCACCTTCGAAAAAAGCAGCCGCTGGTGGAACAAGAAAATAAATTCGGAATTCGAAATCATTGATCATCACTATCATTATCATTACATTTTTTTTCGGTGTGTTCAGCCAGGAATATTCTTTTTCTTTATCAACGATTATTTCAGCTTAATATTATCATTATCATACCCACTCATACACACACACACATTCTTGATATATATCTCACTAATTGTATATCTTTATCTCTTTCTCACACACAGAATAATCGTTCATTTTTTGCTTGTATAGTTTTTTTTTCTCATAAATATTCATTTATCATACACACATTTATTGTTTATCAACATATAATCGAATATATTAAAATATACGATGAATAAACTATATTATTCATATTATTGATTTGTTGAGAGCAAATAATCCGTAAACAAGATGATGAAAATTGAATCAATTTTATTTAGATTTGTTTTTTACTTTTTCACTTTAGATTATATATAAATGACAAATAATTAAAGGAATGAATGCGTGAGTGTGTGTGTGTGTGTGTGACAAAAGATATTTTGTTGAAGAAAAAAAATTCGATGAAATTATCAATTATTCGTTTTTGAACGTTTACCACCGCCACCAAAACCTTTGCGTAGATTCTAGATATTTTGCAATTATAAAAAAAAGTTTTCATCAAATTTATCAACAGAATTGTAAAAAAAAATCGAATGATGTGTCAAAAAATTAAATTGAACTCCTAACCAGAACGAAGAGAAATGAGGTCAAAGATGGATAGGTTGTGTTGGGTAAAATGAGTTATAGTGTGAGAGAAAAAGAGAAATGGAAATATGCGAAGGATACAGGTTTCGGATTGTTGTTTTCATATTTGAATTTGGAAAAAAAATAGAAAAAATACAAACCTTAGCAGCCATACTTATCGTTGTAATGGATTTATTTTTCTGATTCAAATCAGAATCCGAAATTATTTGTTCAGAATTATTTGATTTTTCATAACGCAAAACATCAATCTGTTCACATTGTTCAGTTAATGTTTCATTCAATTTGGCCATATGTTCCGACATTGCTTGTAATTGTTTTTCATAATTATTAACAGTTGTTTGTAATTCTTCTTTCAATTCATTCATCAATAATTGTTGACGCTCAGATTCTTGCCGTAATTGACAATTTTGATCCTGTTCAATTAATAAACGTTGTCGTAATGAATGACAATCATGTTCATATGATCTTGATTTCGAATCAATACGTTCAAGATCATCGATCAAACGATTCAATTTTGATTGAATATAGTTTAAACTTTTTTGATTCATTGGATTTTTCAATAATGTTTGTTGTGATTGATTTGCATTAGTAATTAACGGTTCAATATTGTTACCATTATCAATCATAACAATATCATCATCGATTAATTGACTTGAACAACAATCTTCATGATTAGATGATGAACCAATCGAACCAAGTTCAGCATAATTTGTTTGATTTTTTGCCATTGTTGTTGTTGCTGTCGTTGTTGATGTTTGATCAAAACTTCGTGACGATAATGAACCTAATGAAACATTGTTCGAATGAAATGGTTGTTTATTCAATGAATTTTTCATTATCATTGATGATGATTGTCCACCCGAAAATGAATTTGAATTATGAATCGTTGATGGTGCTGTTATCGGAATCGATTGCTGATGAAGCAATGAGTTGTTCAACATTTGACATTTTTGTTCCAATTCATTTGAACGTTTTTGTTCATGTTCCAATTTTACTCGCATCAATTGTGATTCAATTGACCAATGTTCTTTTTCTTTTTCAACCTGTAACAGACGTTCTTGACAGAATTTAAGCTAAACAAATCAAAAAGAATGAGAAATTGTATTAAGAGAAAAAACCCAATAATTATTTCAATATTTCTGGATACAAACTTTTTTCTCAATATTCAAATTATCACTTTTTAAATTTATCGATTGTTGTTGTTGATGTTTTGATTCAATGATTGCACAATCATTTTCATCAACATTATCAATTTGATCAACATCGCCATCATCATCGTAATCATTATCCGTTTGATCAATAATCGAATCATTATCACCATTCGATGAGGATGATTGTTGCTGTTGTTGGTTTTGTTCATATTGTTGATAATCATTAACAAAGAAAAAATAATGCATTTCAAATACAAGACGAATTTCTTTGATACATGTTGATAAAAATACAACCGATGATAAAATACAATCATCAGCGGATTTTAATTCCAATTCAACAGTTACACCAAGATCATGTTCAAGTACAACTTTTGAGCTAAATACTCGTTTTGTTTCTAATTTTGAATTTGCGAAAAAAAAGAAAAACAATCAATTGACTACCAAATTAAAAAAAATAAACAACATACCATTAATACCATGTTCAAGTGCATCAATATGATGCATAAATTCATTAAAAATTGTTAGAAAATTTGTATTCATCAATGATTTTGATAATAATAATTGAACATAATTACAAATCTGTCCAATTATTGTTACACAATTATTAATTGATTGTATTAACATTTCATTCTTTTCACAAAGATTACGACGTTTTTCCGGATCAGCTAAATGTTGTTGTAATTGTGGATCTAACATTAACTGTATAATAGGATTTGATGGATCATAATCAACATATTGTTTACACCAAAGATTTAAACTGGACAGTTTTCAACAAAAAAAGAAATATACATTATTAACGAATTTTCCAAAAAAAATTAAGCTAGTTACCAAATAGTCAGATATATGTTTGTCTTGTTCAGATAGCTAACATAATCGGCAAACGTTTCAACAATATCGATCGATGTTTTAGATATTTCCTGTTCGATTGCATTCAAATCTGTTGTTGTTGTTGTTGAATTCGATAGAGATTGCAGTTTCCATTGTTGAATTTTTAATTCAGAATATTGTTTGGATGCATCTTCCAATTGTACCAGATAGGTATCAAAGCCCATTTGCATATAATCACGAAACTACGTATATTTTTTTGGAAAAAAAATTAATAATGATTTCAGAAAAAAACAACAATGAAATACCTTTCGAAGTATTGACATCACAGACATTGAACGATATGGTACGAGATTATTATTCGACGATGATTGATTTCCTTTTTCATTCGGTTGATTTTTATGATGATTGGTTACTGTTGGTAAATCATTCGAATCAATTATGGAACAATCATTCATCGATGATAATAATGATGATTCGATTGATGATTGAAAATCAAGAAAATATAAATGATTCGATTGTTTCTGAAACAATGCAAACATAATGGAAATTTTCTGCGATACATTGGAATGTACGGTAGATAGGGCACAGATAAATTCACATAGTTTCATTGAAAATTGTTCAATCACATCTTTTCGTTTGGCAAAATCTTTATAGAATTTATTTTGTCGATGATTATGATGATGTTGGTGTTTTTGCGGTTTCTGCTGCTGAAGCGATAATCGATTCCTCATTAAACCAATATTATTATCATTATCATTATTGACTATTGTTGTTTTTGATTTTTGTTTAATCAATTGTTCCAGATTACCAATACGTTGATTAAGATTTTTATTCTCAAATTTTCTATTTTGAAAAAAGTTTACATCATTATTTTTAGTAAAGATATATGCAATTGAAAAAAAAAACTTACAAATTTTCCATTTCAACGCGTGATTTATGAAATTCTTGATTAATTTTTTGATAACGATTTTCGAAATCATTCTTTTCCTGATTTGCTTTACGTAGACTAGATTCATATTCATTCATTTTTTGTTCAATAATTTCTGTTTGATTGGCTGCCTCGCTTTTAGCTAATTTTAATTCATATTCTAATCGTTCTGTATCTCGTAATCGTTGTTGTTCTAGATCACAATTTAATTCTTTTAAACGTTCCAATTCTTCGGCTTTTATCTTTAATTCCATATTTAATTCATCGACTAAATCCATTGATTCAGGTTGTTGTTGTTGGGAATTATTATTACCACCACCACCACTACTTGTTGTTGAAGCTCTTCGTGAATCTTTCGATTGACCATCTTTCGATGTTGATGATGATGAAGGTGATGATGAAAATGATAGAAATCGTCTTGATACAGGTGAATTGTGTCTTTCTTTTGAATCTAAATCATTTTGCAATACGCTGACACGTTTAGTTAATTGTTGATTACGAAATTGTAGATTTTCAATCTCCTGTTCTAAACGTCGTACATTTTGATCCCGTGATTTGATCGTTTGTTGTTGTTCAATATTTTTTTCTTTTTCATCGATCATAGCTTTTTTGAGCACCAAAAATTGAGCACGAATCTATTGATTGATTGAAAATGATATTTGTTTTTATTTGATTTTTTTGTTTTGTAATTAAAATTGAAAACCTTTGCATATTCTGTTGCTAAACGTTGATATTTTTCCACCGTAACTTCCATCGATGATGATAATGATGTTGATGATTCGGAATTTGTTTGCGATAATGTTTCAGCCGCCGACGATCGATTAGCCATGATTATGATGATGTTTTTTTAAAAATAAAAAATTATTAACCAAAATTTTTTTAAAAAAGGATAAAATCACTAAATCAATATTATTGTCATTATTGAATAAATTAAAGATAAATAAAACAAACAAAAGACAAAACTTGATAAATCCCCATGAATGATTCACATGAAAAAAATAAAACAATATTTGTCAAGCAAATTAAATGGGTGTTGATCATCGATCAGCTGTGTCTCTATTTGTGTAATCAAAAACGAAAAAAAACTTCATCGAATTGCAAAATGAGTGTTATCAATAGGAAAATTTCCTTTGAAATTTACATCCAATAAATTCTAAAGAATCTTTTCCGGAATTTGTTTGTTTCAAATCGAAAGTTTTGCAAACAGCTTTCAACAATGATAAATAGATGGTGTTAGCAGTATTGATTAATTTTGATAATTTAACAAATATTCTTTTATTTAATTCAGATTAATTTTAAAAAAATGAATATTAATTTAATTTTGGTTTTTTCATCATCATCGTTGATGATGATGATCCGATTGGTGCAGATTTTTGTCCCGCTTTTATTCGTTGCTGCTGTTCATTGAAACCTTGATTATCGTGTTCATCTTCCATTTTAATTGTCGATCCATTTGATGATGTCGTCGATTGTTTTGTAGTTGATGAACTTGTTTGTGAATCATTCGCATTCGATGTATTTGTCTGTTGTGAAGTAGTATTATTTGAGGATTGAATAGCTAATTGTTTTTGTTCACCACCACCACCTTGTTGAGGATTTAGTGGAAATTTTTGCAACAAATGCCATAGTAATCCATCAACACTTTCACGATAACGTAATCTCATCTGATTACTACCATCAATTATGAATGTCTCTTTACTGTTAGTGTTTTTGCTATTATTATTATTATTAATGCTCGAATCTTTACCATTCTCATTATTATTATCATTGGATTGTCCATTTTCTTTAAAATTGATCATATCATTAGAATTATCACGATCAAATGTCCATGTATAATCGGTGGATGGATGAAAACGTGCATAATTAAAACATTCTTCAAATGCTGATTGTAATGAATACATCGTTGTCAATAATTTTGATTCAACAATTGATTTTAAATCCGGTGCCTGATAAATAACACCGGCAATTATATAATAATTAGCTAATGGTACAACATATGTTGGTGAATGTCGTTGCTGTTTTCTTATAACAAATAATATCGGTTCTTTACTATGTAATAAAATATATTCGATTCCTTTCATTTTTTCCAATTCACGTGGATGTAGATTTCTCATCTTAAGATGTTCATTATTACATGTATGATCATAAAATGGATTACTTTTATCCGCAAAATATGTAAGAACATTATGTTGATTTAATGGTGGAAATCTTATACGATTACACCATGTTATATGAAGTGGATTATCTAATATTTTATAATCAAAAAAAATCATAAAGATTAATTAGTTTAATTTTTTTGAATTAGATAAACTCTCGCTACCTTTATCATTCATTTTTTTTAGAATAAAAATATTTTATTTTTTCGAAAAAAAATTTTTTATTGTTAAATCAATATTTCAGAATGAAGTCAGCTGATTTTTGACACTCGATTTTTTTTACGACCGTTCATAGATTCTGTTCGTGTCAAATTTTATTTCTTTTTAATTTCGATCCGAAAAGAAAAACACGTTCTGTTTTGCAAGATTAAAGATAATGGACAGAGAAAGGACAGATCAATCAAATCCACGTATACAGACACACAGCCATTGGATCAATAAGTTAAAATCAAAACAAAAGTTGTTAAACAACGAAAGAGAAATTAGCGGTAAATAGATCAGATCTATCCATCCATTCATTCATCTATCAATTATATTGATCATCAAATATTGGATGTCGAAACAAACAAAAAAAACAGTAGTGGTAAAACGTTTGAAAGAAAAAAAAACAAGTCAAAACAATCAAATACGAATATCATATTGTCAAACAGATACACAAACATCGAATAAATAAAATGATCCTTTAATTAAAATTATTAAATTTTTATATTCCAAATCTAAATTGTAGCAACAACAACAACAACAAAAAAAATCATCAGGAAAAAGAAAGAGGAATGAATGAAAATTGGTTCCGAAAAATTTAATATCCTAAAATCCTAATAAAAAAAAATCTAAAACGCAAAATCACAGAAAAACAAAACAGAGCAGCCGTCGTCGATATTGTTATTGCCAAAATATTTATTTTTGTGTCCTGTCCTGTTTCGTTTCTCTTTTCTTTTTCTTTTTTCGTTTTTTTTCGATCGTTGTTTATATCGTTGTCGTCGTAAGAAAAATATTTTCGAAGTGGTAAAAAAATTGAGACACAAGTTTTTGTTGTTGTTGTTCGATTATCGTCGTCGTCGCCGTCGTTTCAATATTCGTCCACAAAAACATTGTATACATACGTCCATCGTAACACAAACATCATCATCATCAATTATAACTGTAAATAAAAAAAAACAGAAATTTACAAAACAAGAAATGAAGAAAAAAAAATTCGAGTAAAATAATTATGTTGTTGATGTGTGTGTGTGATTCGTTGTTTTGAATTTTAAAATTTTTTGTTTCGATTTTTTAAAATTCAGATCGAAAACAATGGATCCATCAATGATGATCAATGAAATTATCAATTATCAATTGATAATAATTATTAATAATTTTATATCAAATCATCATCATCGTTATTTTAAACGTAGAAAATCAATCATTGAATGATTGATTTGAATTGTCATCATATTTATAAAAAAATTTTATAATTAATTCGTGTCAGCAAAAAAACAAACTTAAAAAAATTTAAACTAAAAGCAAAAAAATTGTTCATCAAGTGGTCTTTCTCCCTCCAGTGCGATGCTGCTCCGAATTCAAACTCAAAATCTTTATTTAAAAAAAAATTCAAATTTTTTCTTCTTCCCCCCTCCGTTGTTTGAAAACAAAAATAATCGATAATCATCACTCACTATCGATTATATCGAATTTGTTGTCTCTCTTCCTTTTTTTTTGTTATTTTCGCTCATCATCATCAAATTTTCGAAATAACGAAATTTAATTTTTTTTCTCTTGACAATTAACGATAACATTTAAGAAAAGAAAAACTGCTTTGACATGCAAAATTTCCTGAAATAATGTGCTTGTTGTTTTCATCATTCGTATGAATTGAATATTAATTAACACCTTTGTTTTGTTTTGTTTTTCTTAATTAATTAATAAAAGTATCAAATGTTTGTTTTTATATCAATAATTATAAGTAAATGATGTGCAACAAGTGTCAAGTTTTTTTAACTTTTAACAACAACAACAATGTGTCCAGGTAAGTGGTAATAAAGAAATTGTTTTTTTCTTTTCCAACGGAAATCCTATGAATTTGAATTGGATTTTAAAACAAAAACTGTAAATTGAAATTTATATTCAGGTTTTGTAATGAGAAGAAAAAAGGAAAAAGAAAATTTCCTTTTTTCTCATTTATTTTCTTTCAAAAAAAAATCACTCTATTTGGCAGTATCATCAACAACAACAACAACAATAACGAGAATAAGAAAATGCTAAATATCGAAAAAAAAGTCAAGGATATCTGTTTGAGCGAGTATGCTACGTGCAAATGATGATGATGATGGTAGTTTGAATTGGTGACAAGTTTTGCTTGTTTGCTTGTTACAGTATTTTATTGACATAATTTTTTTGGTTTCTTTTCAAAAAAAATGTTTCATTCTCGTTCGATTCATTGATTTTTTAAGAGAATTTTAAACCAAAAAAAAATATGAATTTCAAAAAGAAAAACAAAACGAAATACCAACGTAATTTATACATAAAATTGGTCGGAAAAAAACTGTATGAAAGAAAACATCACATCAAGGATAATCATCTTCTCTGTGTGTTTGTCACAATCCATATATGTTTTGGTCCTGTTTATTTTTGATTGCTATAGAAGCAAAAAAACATTCATGATTCATTCATTTAATTGATGTTTTTGTTTTTGTTTTTGTTTTGAAGAAAGATTCTTTTTTAGCAAAAGGCAACAATTTGTTTGTTTGTGTAGGTTAGTATGTCAATGGAATCATTGCCGGTTGTGTAGTGAATGAATGGAATGTGTTATTGTAGAATTCAATTCAAACAAACAAAAAAGTGTTTCATCTTTTATCATCATTAGATATGATGATGTTCATCAAGTTTTTTCTCAAATCTGATTAAATTCAATCGTAGAAAATCGAAATTTAGAAAAAAAAAGAGTTCATTGACTGTACCAATGAGAATTGTTTTGTTCCAAGTAAACCAGAATAATAATAATGACAAAAATTGCTTAACATTTTTTGATTGACGTCATATCATGTGAAAAAAAAAACGAAGAAAAGATTCCATAAATTTTTTCATTCAATTTTCCTTTTTTGGTTATTATGAAATAATTCATTAATATCAATCAATATTTGGTAATTTGATTAAATTTTTGTTGATTTTTTGTTTTGTTTTGTTTTATTTCATTTTTGCAAATAGCTAATTAATTTCAGTTTCCCAGATACAGTATTATTATCAGTTACTGAACTTGAATATGGATCATTTTCTTTTGAATTCAATCGATATTCAGTGTTTAAGAGTTATATAGAGAAAAAAGTTGCAAACCTTGAAAGGAATGGCATTTTTTGTATGCCGATTCCAGAAAAAATCGATTGATTTTTTCTGGTTTTTTCTTGAATTCCGTTTAATTTTTTTTTCTCTCGATTAGATGAACACTTATGGATTAAACCTAAAGATGATGATGGATGCTTGTTTTTTTTCCTATCAATCGATAAATTTCTTTTTGAAAAATTTCCTTCTTCTTTTCCTCACCGTTGGCCATGATAATGATATGTCGATGTCCTTGATTATTATTGATTTTTTCTTTCCTTGACTTTGATTCTGTTTTGTTTTCAGAAGAATTTTTTTTTTCCTAAAATATTTCATTTTTTTAAATTTCAGTTCAAATTTATCATTTTTTTCTTTTCAAATATGAAGAATCCATTTACCCAATTAAATTGGTGTCAAACTGGTGATCATCATTATCCAATTAGACCAATGCAAAAATAAAACAAAACAAACAAATTTGTTGAAAATTAGAAGGTTAGATTTGATTAGCTATTTGGTGTGTGTGTTCAATTAATCATTGAAACACATACTGTAAGTTATTCAAGGATTTATTTATTTTTGTTTTTCACCCAGAAAAAAAAATTATCATTACCTTTTTTTCCCACTACCTTTTCGTAAACGTAATTGACAATTGTTGTTGTAGTGGTAGATTATCATTATCATTTTTTGTTTTTGTCGTTGCACCAAAATCTAAATTAAAATAAATAATGTTTGTAAAATATAATACAATAAACTAATCATCATCATCATCCTGGGATTTTTTTTCCATTGTTTGTTTACATATGCATAGATCCAACCCATATCAAAACGATAATCATAAATATTCCAATCGAAAAGGTTTTTATTTATGAAAAATATTTTTGTTTTCCCGAAAAAATTTTTCACACCATAAAATTTCGAATGTTTTTTTTCATTGTAAATAAAAAACATATCCAATAAAGATTTGAAACAATGTTGTTTTTTTTCTGTTTCTGTTTCATTCACACATATGTGATTTGCGGAGAGCGAAGGGGGGAGAGGCAGACGAAATTCGAAGGGAAACAAAACCCGAAACATACATTTTAACATCATCATTATCGCTGTCCGGTTGTTTGGGGTCATTAAAATTTTCTTCTTTTTGATGGTTTTCTCTCCTTCTTTACATGATGCTGACCATCATCATAATCATAATCATCATGCAAATAATCATAGATTATTTTTAGAAATGTCATCATTCAAAAAAAAAATTAACTTTGATGAGAGTGAAGAAAAAAAAAATAGATCCGGATGATGAATGAATTTGGAACGGAAATCACACAAGTTTATTTCTTGTTCTCCTTCGATTTTATTCATGGTTAGTTTTTTTTCACAAAAAAAAATCTGATCAAACACCAAATCAATTTTAATTAATTTTAACTTTTTGTTTTGTTTAATTTCATTGTTGTTGTTTTTATCCAGTTGAAATTTTCACGAAAAAAATTTCCGGTAATTTATATTTTCAGAAATATTTCCAACATTTATTTTTTTTTAATGTAAATGTATGAATGGTGTTTTTTTTCATGTATGAATCTTTTCATTCAACTTGTAAATATCCGATTATTATACCCGTTTGCCCAATGTGTTTGTTTGTTTGTTTGTGCATCATGGTTCCGGTTTTTCGTTTCTTCTTTTTTTTTCTTTATCATTCATCTTTTTTTCGAATTTCAGAATGATAAATTTTGTTTTTTTTAAATAAACCATAATCATCATTGTGATTAGTGTAAATAAACCTTTATTTTTATTTTAATTCAATAAAAAAAACTTTCTGGCAAGAAGGAAAAAATTGATGGAAATTTGTCAAAGATTTTTCTTTTTTCTTGACAAACACACCTTTGAGAGGATCATCATCATTTTGACCATCTTCAACGATGTGATTGTTTTTTGTTCCTGCTAATTTAAAAATTAAAAAAAAACTGGAAAAAAATAACATTTCCTGCAACTTTTCTCTAGAATTTTGTTGTTGTTGTTGTTGTTTCGATTAGCTTATTACTGTTATGTATTTTTTTATAATTAAAAATTCATTTTCGAAACTAATTTATTTGCTTTACCTTTTTTTTGTACTTTATAGATTGCCATCCATTATAATTTCAATTCTGGTGTTTTTTTTTTTTTTTTTTGATTGAAATTACTTCTCGGTTGCCTTAAAAAATTATGCCTTTTTTTTTTGGTTGACAGATAAATTTATCGA